TACGTTGTTTTTTCAAGTTTATACGAATCATTTAATTGGTCAATTGATCTAATCCATTTCTTCATTCACACTTTTATTCTAGCTTTTGTTCTCCTTACGTTTTGTTAATCTCAGCCTAACATTAAGCGTTGTGAACCATCGAACATCATGTGATGATGACATCTCGTGATAAGGACGTTTGGATTACGTGATGATCACATCATTTCATGGTAGTAAACATACGCGCCCTTTTCTTGTTTGTTTGGAGTTCCCCATTGTTATTGCTGTTTGCTGTCTTACTGCACTGAAATTAAACAAAATTTTCAAATCATCGAGTTTTTGTTTTTTTTCTCTGAATTGAGGATGGGCTATTATCTTATGTTTCTTTTTCACTTTATAGGTATTTTCTTTTTCCGCAATTTTTACTCCATTCTTACCGCAAATTTTGTCGTTTCAATCTGCAATTTATTTGATTTGAATTAAGAACTGAACATAAGTATCTATCATTTTTACAAATAATAGATTGTAAATGATTCAGCAAAGAAGTGGTTACTTTTGTGAAATTCTGTACATAAAATAAGCCATAAGCAACAATGAATAATTGTAAAATACTTTTGCGAAAATAATAATAAATAATATAAACTTGAAAGTGATCCGGTGCGAATAGCAAACGATCAGAATAAATATCACTTTCAGTGGAAGTGATTTTGCAAATACAATAACACGCAATGATAAAAGTAATTTTGAAACGCGTAGTGCAAGCAATAAAACCAATGAATTACTGAGAGAGAAATTATTGTATGGCAATAATTCATATTTATGTCACTTTTTGCATATATAAGAAAATGTGTTTAATGAGGAAATAAATTATCAAACATAAAATGTTATCAATCACATCAAGAAAAAAATAACTTCAAAGCTACATGATGAAACATCTGGTGATATAATAAGCTGTTGTTGTTGTTTGACAATCATTGACCATTAGCAATGAAATGAATTACTAAATATTTTATTTTCGGATGACATAGCTAATTGATGGAAAAATTGAAGATTACGTGTAAATATTTCAAGCATCAAAAGTTATGTTTTCTTATTTGTGTTAGACATAGTATGTGCGATCAATCGTTCGAATTTAAGTTTACAATTTCTTGTTCATCGTTCTACATTTCTTCTATAATCACGCATCCAACACAAAATCTGAACTTAAGCCTAAATATAAGTACAACGATTCCTTCAGCTGTTTTTTTATTGAAACTTGCAATATATAAAATCATCAAGCATTTTGGAAAATGAAAAAAAAGGAAGTTTGAATTTAAAATTTAGGAAGAATGTAAAGAATTATTATCTTTCTAAATATATCGGTAATTTATATTATGTATATATGCTTTCCTCTTTCTCTTCCTCTTCCTCTTCTTCATATTCATCTTTCTGCTAAAGATGTAATTGCTAAGAAGACAATTTTAACCGTGCTATCAGTTCATTGAAACGAATGAAAGAGAGAAAAGAGATGTGTGGGAAAATGTTGAAGTTAGTTAAAATTGTGAGACTTCGAAAAGCTTATTGTCAATTTTAAAACGATAACACTTGCTATGAGAAAAATTTACACAATTATTTTTTCCATTCTCTGCACCTTCTTTTCAACGATGTTCTTCATCTGTCCCATGATAACAGCATCTTCAACTCCTCTCTTTTATCTTACTTTTTTTTTCTGTTTCAAAAATATATATCAATACACACACACACACACACACACACACACACACACACACACACACACACACACACACACATCTTCAACTTGCTTTATTTTGCCACATATTACGATTGAGGGGGAAGTTGTTTGACCCCATTTCAGATTAAATATAAACATTCAATCCTTTTTAGGATTCCAAATGTTTATTCTTTTTTTTATTATGTAATTAGTTTTTTTTTTCATTTTTTTCTGAAACTACATCTTTCATTTATTCTTACCATACGTGTATATACGTAAGTGTATAAACTGTCGAATTTCTATTCGTCTACTGTTATCCTAATCGAATAAAATTTTTGTGAATAATAATAATATTATTAGTTATTATTATTATTACTATTATTATTACAACAATTATTATCACTGCTATCACAATTATTGTTAATATTATACGCATAAAAAAAGATATAAATATTATATGATAATGAATTGTACTATGTTATTATTATTTCTACTATTATCATTACTGTGGGTATTGGAAGCAAAACGAGAAAAATCTTCAAAATCAGATGAAACATTCAAGGAACAACAACAACAACAACAACAACAACAGCAATCTCATGCATCATTTTCTGCTAAAAATAATGCAAAACACAAGGTTAATAAGTCGTTGTCAAACTTTTCATCCTTTAATATTCTCTTCTTTAATTGAAGGATAGGAATTCATTAGCACAAAAAGAAATTTGCCTTATCACTTAAAAATTTTATTTCATTTTAATTTAATCCATTTCAAAAAGAATATTGTGGTGCTTTGTAAAATTAAAATTCAACATTAAAAATAGAACTTGTTCATTTTTCAAACTTACGAAGGATAGGAAAACTATGTAATAATTTCCAAAGTTTAAATTAAAATCAAATGTAATACTCTTGCCAAATTGATGACGACATATATTTTGATACACATTTCAATAAACAATGAATAATAAAACTGAAAGTTAAATGAAATATTAATTGCACTTATCATTTCTTGCTATATAATATTTACCTATATTTGTAGAAAGATACACGTCGGATAACGTCACCACGTCAAGATGTTACGCAAGATGACGATAACACCATAGAAGATGTTGACGAGGATAAAATTGACGAAATTATCCGTGATTCAACCAAAAATCTTGTCATATTCTTTTGTTAGTTTCGCTTTTTTCATTATTAATTAATTGATACTAAAAAAAATTATTATATTTATTGAAATGAGAATAAGCCACAATCAACAACAACGATAATGAGTTTTCATAGATGAAAGGTAGGAAATATATAATAACATAATTTATAGGAAATATATAATAACATAATTTAATTTTTCACTTGCAAAATGGATAGCAATGGATCAGTAATATCCTTTTTGATATCTGATGTGAATTTTATTTTTAACCTTTTTTCATTTTCTTTATCGAGACACTAAAGGAAATGATTTTTAATCAGTAAACTATAATCAGCGTTATAGTTGTAGATAGAAATTAATTTCGTCGATAATCAGAAATTATATCCCCACTGTAGATGACGGATACGCCAAATGTCCAAATTGTGGTGAGGCACTTGCGGAAGTAGAAGAAATCGATGACGATATCGAAGCCACTGGATATGTTGAAGTTCGTTTTAAATTCTTTTTCGAAAATTTGTTTTTTCTTTTCTGGCAGAAATAATATTAGCATATTTCATATCTAATTTTCTTCTTCCGCACGAATATTGAAAAATCAGGAATATTCAAATTTTCAGTTGTATGTGGTAAAAATTTTGGCAGAAATCAAGTCATCAAAAAAGTATAATTTCGAATATAGAAATTAATCATTTAGTCGGCAGTACAATTTAATGTGAGTAATTAATTTTGTAAACATTTAAAGGTCGTTAAAACGGATGATCGAAGTGTTGCACGTGAGCTTGGTGTTACAACATTTCCAGCTTTGGTTTACTTCAGGCGAAAAAATCCAATCACATATGATGGTGAGTGCATCTAGGCATTATAATAAAAGTTATATTAAAATTTACATCTTTAAATTTTAAAATTAGTGTGTCAAATTTTTACTTATTCTTTGATTAAAGCCTATAATTGGATTATTAGATTATGTTTATGGTAATATGGCTAATTTATGTTTTTATCAAATTTGTTGATTTCAAAACAAAGTTTAAAAATTTCAAGCTACATAGTGTTCTCTTAGGCGATTTCAAGGATTCGGATACAATACTACGATGGTTGCGATCTCATGAAGAGGTAGTTACTCGGGTTCTTACTGATGATAACTTTGAAGATTATACAGATAGCTATTCACCTGATGAAGGTGCACTGGACTGGTTTGTCATGTTGTAAGTATTCATATTTCATTCAGCATTATAATTAAAATAACAAAAGTTTAAATATTTAACATTTAAATGTTTAGAGCACAATTTTTTAAAACGCTTTTTAATCATAACTTTAACTGATTACAAGTTGTTCCAACACTTTAGTTGATTAATTTTTAATTTTTATAGTTACAATTCGGAAGAACCAGACTGTAATGCATTTGTTTCATCATGGGAATCCGTAGCACATAAGTAAGTAGCATTTTTTTATCAAATTTTAAAAATTTAAGCTGGGGAATTTGTGCACAAGGTTTGATCAATAAAAAATTTTTTAGATTGCGAGGTTTAGTAAATGTCGGCAAGGTAGATATGTCAATCAATGATGATGTCACAGATCGTTTTCGTCTAGACGATGCTCAATGTCCGGTATTCCTTCTGTAAGTATCATGAATTATCGGTGATTAAAATGAACATTTTTTTTACAGAAATTTTTAAGTTGGAAGCACTTCTATTTTTCGGTCAACATGTAAAATATTGAATTTAATCGCTATAAAGTTCCAAATTTATAGCTTTCATCGAGGAAAGATGTATCGATATAAAGACGCAGCCAAAAACATCCGAAGTTTGACAGCATTTGCAATGTACAAATTCAAGGACTTACGTGGTTATCACGTGCCGGAACCACCAACTGCACTTGAAAACTTTTATGAACATATCAAAGAACGAATTGCAGATATTTTGGTATGCTTTTCCATTTTTCTTTTCAAAATTCTCTGATTTGAATTCAATTTATCATAACATTTTTTCCTCAAGCAAACTTAGTGTTACATACTTATGTACTACCTAGATTTATTGATTTACCAGTCTTATCAGTCGCACGGTTATCACTTGCTCGTTTTTATCAATTTTTCACTGTTATCTACAACTTCAATTATGGTTACATTTAATAAATTTATAGGAGATGATGAATATGTGATTCAAAAATTTAAGTAAACTCTTACGACTTACTTGCAAATTTGATGGGGCAATTTGATTGATGATAGTATCAATTAACAGAAGCCTGTTTTCAATGCACATTCATATTCAGCATGTGTTAAAAGATATCAAAGTTAGGAGATCATAACCGGAACACTTTATGCAACAACTTCCGGTTTTATATTTTGTTTACTTTCTCTTTTTTTGTTTTACATGCGGAAATATTTTAGGAGGATAGTCAAGCGCTTACCGTAATCGGTATCGGAGGGTTGATTGTAATCGTTGCTGCGACAATTTATGCAAATGCTAGGAGAAAGCAACACACGACAGTTGTGACAGATGATAATAAATCAAAAACAAACTAACAATTGACCGTCTACGACAATGAGAAGTAAACATTATTGCCAAGTAAAGGCTACTTTAGGCTAAATTTTATGATTATATAATAAGAATTGAGTGACATTTTTTCTTTTCGATTAAAATTTGAATTTAAGTCCAAAAACGTTTAATTTGTTAATTGGAGACTCGAAGAATTGATTAATTCTTGCCAAGTACATAAGTTCATAACACGTGTAAGTGCAATTTCGAGAGATTGCTAAATGATTTGATTGTATTCGGTAGCATATCTAGCTGAAATATTAATCTTAAAATTGGTTCATGCATGCCGACGACACGAGCAATTTTGATATCATACTTCAATTTTATGAATTTTCAACAAATTCGAATCTTTTGCATTAGTGAAACATTTATCCTATTCGTTTCCATTTGTGGATCGATGTTGTGTATTTTTTCTTAATTGACTGTTTCTTTTCTCAAAATTTAAATAGAAAAAAAGTCTAGAAATAATTATACGATCAAAGATCGACGATAGACTTCGAGAGATTAATCAAAAAAAGATTCATTCGAATTCTGAAACCTTTTGAACTATTTCAAACTACCATTATTTTTCTATACTATTAAAATTTCATGCACTTCAAGAGATCATCAGTTAGCCATTTTTTTTGAGGGATAAAATATGTGACATATAAGTTCACTTCCATTCTTATATTTAACAAATAATAGTGTAAAATTGATGAAAAATCATAAATAAAATTGTTAATTAAATCATCCATCTTATCACAAACAACAAATAATTTCATGCATGCGAAACGAATACATTTATCAAAAAGAAAGAAAAAACAGCCAATTTGATGGATAATAATTCGATAACAATTTTTTCAGCGTGCCATTTGCTCAACACTTTTCTTCTTTTCGATTTTTTTCTTTTTTTTCCGTTCTTTATAGAAAATAGAGTGAAGGGTGAAACGACATGTTGTGTGTAAATAAATGTTATTATTGTAGAATATGTCATACTATTATTGATCGTGGCGCATTAGTTTTTGTCCTTTATTTCCTATCATTAATTATGTTAATATCATATGAATTTGTGCTATTATGATTAAAAGTGTGAAGTAAAATGTAAAAGAGACAAAAGAAGTGTACATTTGAAATAAGAAATTGAAATTTTTCAAAAAAAGTGCAACAAACAAAAGAAGTATTTATCCATTTGAAATAAGAATGTCATGTTTGTATGCAATTCTTTTCTATTGGAATTTAATTTTTTTTTAGTCTTAGACAGAGATGGAAAGGGAAAGAAAGAGGGAGAAAAGGGGAAAGAAATCTTCAAAATCTCGAATATTATCATCTCTTATGATATATACCATGTATATATCTTGTTTACACAGTGCATCTATATTCATTCAATATCTAAATTTTTGAAATTTAAATTGAAACCTCGATTATCAAGCATTATAACTTTTCGTGCAAGCATATTGTTTTAATTACTTTTTTAATTATTATTTTAATTACTTTTTTAATTCGTGCAAACATATTGTTTTAATTACTATCTAATCTATGAGTAAATGTATTTTTTTGACCGCAAGACACTATTACAAAATTTCAGCTACTTGTAATACTTAGTTTAGACTTATACCCTCTTTCGCCTTTTGTCTCCACAAGCTATCTCCTTTCTTAAGTCTAGGCTACATAAGTTCCCAGTCAAATCACACGAATTAAAAGCCAGGAATTATTTCACTCCTTTAAGATTCCTTAATAGAATATGACAATTAAAACACATTTTCCAAAAGCTCTGAGTATATCGAGAAAGTCTTTTTAATCATTATCTTCCTCTTACGATATTATTTGAAATACATTCACAATTTGACAAAAAATGCCCAGAATGAGACTAAACCGTGACAGTACAATTTTAAACCCAAAATATAACAGCAATAAAATAGCAGTAACGATTTCTGCCATTGTAGACATATTTCTTGCGTTCACCTCCCACATAATTTCCGACATCCATTTTTTCACTACTTCCAAAATATTCGAAATCCATTAATATTAAAAATGTTACGGATCGGAGGCTAGATGTATATCCTTTTGAATCTCATCCGTTGATTCTGCGGGTGGATAATATGCGACAAAAATAGATTGAGCCTCTACTGTTTTAAGTAAACGTTGTGCAACTGCTATCTTCGAATTCTGTGTTAAAAGCGTCGTCAATCGGTTCCAATCTCCGATATTCGCAGCTAGCAAAGAGCATAATTTCTAAAATGCATTGAAGTGACAATGGAAACATTAGAAATCAGAAAGGCAAGAAAACAAATTAATCCAATTGCAACTTGCCTTCTGTGATTTTGATGTTGCTAAATGTTCAACCCATTTGCTCCCAACATCTTTCCAATCATCGAGACCAAGCTGAAATAAATTTTAAATTGAAAATTTCACTAGATGTTGAAAGAACTTCTTTTTCATTCTTTGATATATGCTGTAGCTTTGTGGATAATTTAGTTCAGACAAGCTTCTCCGTTGTAAATCGCCGGTTCATCAGAAAACCACTTTAAATATATAGCTAGTAGTGTCGCATCATTTTTTTCTATACAAAAAAATCATCAATATTAAGAATATTACAACAAGAAACAGGCGATCTTGAAAACTTCCACTTCTACCACTAACTAAATTACAAGGCATATTCTAGTTAAATTTAGCAATATAGAATAAATGACTTTAGCGAAATGAAAACTTTTGCTCCAGAAGCCATGAGCCTGCAGATAGCGACAACCATCATCACCATGACCAATCAAAAATAACATTTGTACGCCATCTGCAAGTCGATATTATGCAAAATAAATTTAAAATTAATAAGACATCAAACTGAGGTTTCACAAGATGGATTTCTAAAAATTTTCAGCGATATATTTTAACAACAAAGACATTTAACATCACCTGTCATACATTCGTTTGCAATAAGATTGGTTGCAACAAGTTTGATAATACTTTGAGCTGCTTCCGAAGAAACATTCGAAGCAAGAAGACAAGCTCGCAAGGCGCTAGTACGACATTCTTCATGTGAAGCAAGTAACAACTGCATCGCCCAATCACGCTTGAAAAGATACAAATTTCTTGCAAAATTTGTCAAAATCTAAGAATACTGTTAAAATTTGATACAAGCAAATGAACAAGCAAAAGATTTCGTGGAAAAATTCGACATCCAACTAACCTTTTGCAGAACAACTGCAAGATGGACCAAAGTATCAACTTGGGCAGAATTCAAATCGGATAAACTCATCAGACACGCAAGAAGCTGCTCAGCTCTTCGCTGAAACATATTAAACACTCAATAAAAGAAGGATAAAAGAAAAAATATATTATCGTATACCAAATAAAGGTGTACTTTTAAATGTGATGGGCTCCAAAATATTTGCAGTCGTGACGAAAGTGATGTACCCTGAAGTGTAGAGATCACCACCGACCACAGATCATACAACCATCGTTCGCCAAAAAGTCGATGTACCACAGGATATCGATGAACACTATCACAATCATATAGAATCCTATCATTTAATTTTAAAAGTCCGTGCAAGAATATAATTTTTGAGTCATCACTTGAAACTGTTGTCAACATCTGCGAAGAATCAACTTCAAGCAATAGAGGAAGATCTGTAAAATTTTCAGAGTAACGATAGCAAGTAGCAGTAATCTAGGTAATCTTAAAATACTGATAATCGATTCAAGATAAATTGGAAGAGGGTGATTCAAAAATTGTGAATTTCTAATTCTATGAAATGTCCAAGTTTTAACCTGAATGATGACGAACTTCTGAAGAAACAAACGATATACAACGAAATAAATTATCTGAACAAACTAGTAGCGGACATATGCCATGCAAATCCATATCCAAGAATGAAACCGAAGTACTAATACTATTGCACTGCTGAAAAACGAATAACATTTGAAGATGGAGAAAAATTTGAAAGATCATAGAACAACTTCAAACAAATATATTCTTACTTTAAACGCAGTGATATTACCATCTGTTACATTCAACCTAAATTGTAATGACATAACAGTTATTTTATAGGCTCAAAATGAAGATATGCCAAGTATAGAGTAAAATTCTAAGGAATTCTCATAAATTTCGACAAATCAGAATCGATGAACAATAATGACGCAAGTCTAACTAACTTTTTTTTTCGAAAAACTGAAGTTTTTATCTGATTTTGCTCTAGTGTAATATATACCTGAAGTACGGTAAGCTGTTCGGAATCCCATAAAACAACGGTATGTCGGTGCAGCACTGCAAGCGTATGATCACCGGGAATTCGTGAAAAAACAAGTTTCAGAATTGGTCCTCTAGTAGTGCCACGTGTTTGACGGCACTGTCGCCGCCCTAAATCCCACACACCTAAACGTCCCCAAGCGTCACCCATTGCCAATAAGTCATCTTTCCATACCAAACATTTCACTGCCGCACCACTTTTCCACTGCAAAAAACTTTTAGTTGATGAAGGCCAGTAGGTTGAAAGTCTTAAATTCTTAACTTCTATACTAATTTTCTTTTCCTTAAAGTCATTATCAATGAAAGAGATTTGATTAAAAAACCTATACAATTCAAAATTTATATAGGAATCTCTAATCACGATCAAGTTCAGAAGCGAACACTAAAATAATTTATCATTTTTTTTAAATTCTCAAGAATAAGTTTCAAAAAATCTTCCTTCAAAAAAATGAAAAAATTTCTATTAAAAAAATATCGTATGCATTTAAAATGATATCAAATTAAGTTGTGCTTCTACCTCAGAATTCACTTCCTTTCCATCTCTTACATGTAAACCTTTCACCACTACATGGTACAGATGGCATTCCTCATCTAAAATAACAAGATTTTCTCGAAAAACAGGCTCATCTCCATGTGATATTTGTTTCGCCGCATGGTGCTTTCCCGACCAAGCCTAGAAATTTAATAATTCCGAGAATTTAATCTTGGAAGAATAAAAACGAATTTAAAAATTAAAGTGAATTTAACTGCAAAAGGACTGACAAAAGACTACCATGTCAACAATAATAGGGCATGATCGGGACATTCTTCTTAACAAACGCATCGATTTCAGATGCCAAATCTCCAGCGGTTCATTACGGAAGCCAATTGCAACATAGCAACTAAACATGAAATATTGCTGATATAGCAGATTATTTTTAAAAACTGAGAATGTGAACTTAATACTTTAATCCAGGGACATCAGAAAAAAATTTAGGAAAAAGAGATAAAGTATGGAAAATTTGATAGGATAAGTAGAAAGTAAAAAATTATGCGTTTCCATCGCCGAAAAACAAAGTAAACTGATGAATTGAAATTATTTGACTACTATGTAATAAATGCTTGCAAGAGAAGGGAAGGGAGATAGAAAACGAGAAAAATGCATAGCCCAACCGCCACCCAACGATGACGATAAAAAGCAACAAATTAACTTACTGGTAGAACGATACTCGCAACATTTCCACCGGTGTTTCCTCCACCTCTGGTCGCAATCTCTTACTTTCACCTGGAAAAAAATATTACAAGTATTATTCTAATATTATTGTGATAGTTGGAAAATTTTAGTAAGAAAGCACCGAAATATTGTACCTGTTCGAATATCCGTAATAAAAATATCATTTCGGACTAGTGATGAAGTGCTCAAAGAGTGAACATATGCGGCCGAAATAAGTTTATGTGGTCCACACCAATCTATGCATCTGTAACTGGTTTACATAGTATTTCTTCGCCTTTCAGCTCGAATTTTTGGAGTTTCGTATAAAAGAGCAAATTTTTGTAATTATGAGATTGACAGGCTGTCATATAGCACAGCTCAAGAAATTATCAATCTCACAATTGCAGTGAAATATAGTTCGATAGATAAAACATTATGCGCTAAAAATAGAAATAAACAGGTAAATACCATTTTTAATCAGTACGACAAAATGTAATCACTAAGTATAAGTTTTAAAAATGATGTGAGTAAATATATCAAGAAAAAAAAACATCTCTAATAAGAAAAGTTATCGCTAACAAAGTACTCAGCTATATGCAAATTCTGCAAACGATAAATAAGAAACACGTTTACCGAATAAATCCTCAAAATAGTACAGAATAAGTATAATTGAATGAAAATATGATAAGTTACTTAATAGGACACGTATGAATATGCAGTTCTCGGAAAATTATTCCTGTTGAAATGTCTATCAATCGTACAATTCCTTGATTATTTCCCAGAGCAGTTAAATGCGTTATTTTACTATTTTTTTTAACATGCTCCAGTTGCATCCGTACCGTCGTTACTCCCTGACCCAGTGAAAACATCTGTGCTATATTCGACATCCTAAATTGGACATATAATTACTATTAAAGAAATCAAATTACTTAAAAAAAATAACAGAATATCACTTACTTCAAGTGACCATTTACTGAACAGCACAAATCTTCATCTACGCTAATTATATTCGTGATATAGCTTGCCCGATAGGGCAGTACCATATCGTCTTCTTTTAGACTCTATAAATCATAAAATTTAGCAAAAGAAATTTTCAAATATTTCAAGCAACGATAAAATTATAGAAAATAAAAACTTGAGTAAGAAATTTGTGAACTTAATTCTTAGGATGGTTAGATTTCGAGAGTCCAGTCCAAATGATTTCGTTATTGAGGCAGAAGAAACTGATGACAAAAAAAGGATAAAGCAAATATGACTGCAACTAAATGCAAAAAATATAACTGAATAACTAAACAGCAAAACTAAACAAGAACAAACAAAAAAAATAAACATGTCGAATAACATTTAGAATCATAATATCCAAGTAGCAAAGATAAAGCAAGACCAAGGAGTTTGGCAAGTGCCATCTTTTCTAAACCAAAAACAGAAATGTTTGAATTAAAAAAATTCAATTCTTCAAAAATTACATCCTTTTGTTGTTGATTTTTTATCACAATTTCATGAGAATTCATCACTGCATGCAAATTTAATGCTGGTAAATGAAATTCTAAAGAAATGCATTTTCCAGAGAAAAATTCATTCCTATACAATTCAAATTTTAAACTGGAAAGAAAAATTTACTTACTAACTGATAAACTGAAATATTCCCTGAATTATATAATAAAGCAACAGTGGTTTGTGTGATAGGGCACAATGCTGCAGCGGATATTCGACAGTGATGTGTTTGTCGTTGTGTTTCACCCGAATACAGCAACTCATAATTCAGTGTCGTTCTACCCTTTTCATCCCTCATTATTGCGCAAGATCTCCATTCAATGATACCATTGGAATGCACAGTTACGAAAATATCACGTTCACTACAAGTCATCAGGCGCAGTAACGGTGCATGACATAAGTACCGCCAAATAATGCAACGACATTCCAGCTCAACACATGCTATCTAAAACAGTGATTATTCAAAAATTTAATAATTTATATTTATAGAACTTATACTTTCATAGACAATGAATTACAGGAAGATTTACCGATAATAATACTATATTGTTCATAAAATTCATATGACCATCATAAATATTCTCTCATTTAGTACAACCAATATCCCTTATTGAAAGTGATTACGAGATCGGTAACACAAACATGCAGAGACATCATCAGTAAGATTAAGGATGTTGGAGCTAGTACTCTTAATTCAAAATAATTTCATTTAATCAGCTCTTTAAAACATTTCTGACGAAGATAAATTTGGAAAAGCGTATAGAAATCATATAAAGTGATTTTGCCTTGTGCTGAAATTACAATAAATTTCAAATTTCATTCATTTTGTTCCGCTTTCCTGTTCTTCCGCTCTCCCCTCTGCCCTCTAAAAAAAGAAACAAAAAAAAAATGCTCCATTCTTTGGAATTTCAATCCCAAAATTTTGTTGTCTTTTTAAACATTTCCCCATTTATTCCAATTTTTTAACATTCTTCCTCTAAATAACATCATTCTAAATGTAAAAACTAAGTGTAAAAAAAATTTAAAAAAAAAATAAAAATGTAAATGTAAAAACAATCTAACTCTGAAACAAACGAGATGTTCAAACCTCATTTTGAGTTGCTGCAAAAAGGATATTTGGAAAAGCATTGTGATATTCAACTTGCATAATTGGCATTGCAGTCGATACGGTACCGAATATCAATAACGAGGTACCTATTCCTGATGGAGCTTTATGAAGCAAAACATTGCCAATGAACATTAAAGAACCAACATCGACTAGACTAACTGAAAATCAACTATTCCAATTTAATGGAATCATTTTTAACCAAAAAAATCAACATTGATCTCTGGGACATATATCATTGTAGCTTGAAAAGAAAAGAAAGACCCAACAAATTAGAATTGAAAATGATGGGCTCGAACATCTATTTGATTGCATAACTAAAAAATAATTCAGTAAAGATTTTCTTTCAAGTTTCATAATTTTATCATGTTTCAAGCACTTCTCAAATTAACTAAATGAATTCACACTGAAAAAATGCACTAACAAGTTATGTTACGTGAATCGAATGGATCAATAGAAAAACCGCTGAAGGCTTGTAGATATGTGACATTCCAAATTCGATCTCCCGTCACTATATTCCACAGAATTAAATTATTAGGAGAATGTAATACCAGAAGAAAATCACGACTTGTATCTTCCCAAGGAAACCAAGCAAGACCTGATAATTTTAAATGGAAAAAGAACCAAACAACACAAAATAAACATTAATTTTTTTCTCTGGTAAACGATACAAACAATAAATCTAATGTTTTGATCATTTAGACCGTTCATAGTTAATTTTGGTAAACACCGCCACAAATTTCACGAAAGCAATGCATAATACTTCTGACCTTAAAAAACAAGAACTTACTCAAAACTGCACTATTCGGAACAGAAAAAGATGACAGTTCGATACCTTCTACAATATCCCATACAACTACTGTACCGCTTACATCAGCAGATGCGCACCGCAATCGTACTTCTGCTGAAAAGCCTATTTCTTCCTCTGATGAGCAGCAAATCTGAAAAAATTCCTATTATCAATTTGAATATTTTAAACTATTCTATTCTTACCATAGCATATTTATTAAAATTGCAACGAATGATTCATTACAATGGTTTACAATAATTCAACTGATTATTATATTTCGCATTACAACATATATATGATAAATTAAATGACCATAACAAAAACTTCTTTCATTTAATCAACGACATCAATTATTGTATCACCAATAACAGCAGGTAAGAAAAAGTAACAGAATTCAATCCGGAAAACCAAACCTAGGCCATGGTAAATAGTAAATTCACAGTAAATCTAAGAAAAAAAACTAACATGTGTAATAGCTGAAGTATGTCGCTCGAGAGTCTGGATAATTTTATTACGAATTACATCAATTATCACAACCGTACAATGAGCTCCATACACCAACAGACCTTTTTCATTCCTGAAGATGTACGATAATGCATAATCCGTTGAAAGATTGTAACAAATATCATCCATCATCCAAGATTTTACTTATATTATTATTGCGTTTTGAATAAAGATTTAGTATATTACCTATCGTTTGGCCAAGTAAACTGTTACTTGGAATTGTGTGAAACTAAGAGGACAAAAAAAATTTTCATCTTCTCGAAGGAAAAAGCAAAGAAAATACTATAACTTATTTAATGCTTTTTGTTTAATGCAAAAACTTGCTGATACCTTAGCCAGTCAGTTCATTTCTTAAAAAAAAAAAAATTACTCGCCTTCGCATTGATGAACTGAAGAATTATTTCTAACTTACCACGACAATGCGTCTCTATTACCAGGATGCAATGAACCAGGCAACGCCACCGTTAACATACTTCTTAATTTAACGGATATTACGATATTGATACTTGCACCTTGAAATTACGCGGACAAGTCAAATCCACTATTCATCATATAAGCACCTGGAAGAAACAGTCATCCCGCATAACGATATCTGCTTCAAACGGATTTGATTCAGAGATACTGCAATAGGACCCCACCGAATATAGGCTTATCAGCACGTGAAAAAAATGATGAAGCTTCGAACTGCAATGACCTGAAACCTCTCAAAACTGCAAGAAACATTCTGACTAGTATTTGCTAACCCCCCCCGCCTCCTCAAATCTCTTATTCATTGAAATGGACCAATATTTCCCGGTTACAATCTTCCCTTTTACATTGAAAAAAAAATCCGTACATAGGGAAAAAAAATGACCATTCCATAACTTGTAACATCCGCAACATACTATTGAATTAATCCTTACATCTTGAAGTGTTGGCAATAAGTTTTCCGCAATAAAAGAACCAAATTATTTCTTACTTCAAACAACTTTATTTCTAGCATTGAATATCTCCGCAATGTTGGGATTTCTATATCATTCTTTTACGTCAAAGCAGCAGCAACAACGATAAAAAGGATCATGCCGTATAAAATTATCAGTTTATGACAAATAAAACATATAGTATCTTCAAAGATATTTTTTTACATTAAACAATAGAATCATTTCAATTTTTCAAAATTTTCTCTTCATTAAGATTATCCATAAATTTATGATTCAAATGAATGCTTTGTATTCTGACGCAGCTGTGATGCAATACGATCCAAATCTTTGCGGCCCTAAAATAAAAAGTAAAAACCCAATAATTCGAAAATAGTATTGATGATAAGGAAGTGAAATATACGCTAAAATGGGCACCAAAAATTCTATTCAATCTATGATGAAAATTTACAATGAAAAACTGCCAATGGAAAAAGGAATTTCATTGACTAATAATAGCATATAGTAAAAAAATGATATGAAAACACTTGCAAACATAAAGCGATTGAATAGAGTTTGATGAGTATTAATAATTTTCAGTTTAATAAAGAATTTGAAAACAAAATTATAAAATATTATAATTACACTGAAAAAAGACTTCATGATCATCCGACCAAATTAATGACAAACCTGTTTAGTCAGTATGCGTCCCTTTCCATCGGGATCTTTTTCTACCCATTTAATGGCCTCCAATGTTTGCAGAGCCTCACGTATAACTGAACCGGATGACTTCACAAAATGATTCGGTGATACGCCATGCCGTTTATTACCACCATATACACGTCTCAGCGCACCAACACCTAAACGGCATTTTAACTATTGGGAGAAATTGTTCCAGCGATTTTGGTGTTCCGTTTTTAGCATTGGCCTGAAGTTATTATTCATTCTTCTCACGGAAGAAAATTCGAATATGAAGTTAAATATATTAGGTTTAAATTCATAATTTAAGAGAGAAAACAATGATAAAATTACACGTTAAATGTATTCTCAATTACGAAATAAGCATCTGATACGATACTGTTCCTGATGGCAGCATAAAACCGAACGTGAGATAACAAATAGTTACGTGTATATAAAGATGAAAAAATGGCATCAAGCTTTTACCAGTAGGTGAACGAATGTATAAACGACGCGCAATACTCGCCGTTCGTATATAGTACCAATCGCTATCAATCGGTGCCAATTCCTTATTCTGGCCCAGTTTAACAACATCCGACCACTCTGGTACTCTTACTTTACCACTTTTTTTCAAAAAACCCGCAATTTGACGTACGATTTCATGTTGATCAACATCTTTAACACTCGTCGGTTTCACCATACTCGTTGAATGTACAGTTTGATGTACTGACCTGTTTTGAATTTAAAGATAATTTTTCATAAAAGTCTAACAAGCATTAAAAAGCCAAATTCTTAGATTCCACATAAATTTCATATAATAAAACAGTTTTTTTTCTTTCATACTACTGTAACGATAAGAATATCATCCTAAATCTCATCTCCCCAAAGGTCACGTTCTACCTCTACTTTACATTTACGCAAGTATCTGCTCAACCACCCTATTGAAGGATTGCTTACAAACTTTGGCTCTACCATTCATCAAGTAATCTAGAAGTTCACCGTCATCCGAAAGTGCAAAAATTCTCTGAATTTTCCTATTTTATTCCTTCCCTTGTAAAATTAGTCATACCACTTTCATATTACAACAATTTCGAAAATCTGTTTTCGAAGGAATTGAAATTTGCACTATCTACGTCCCAACGTGAATAGCAGGCCGTAAAATGCGCATTCCGTTTGTTTGCCATTGTCTCGTACTACTGCGATATCCATGCATTTTGCATCCCGGGATGCAGCGTAAGAGGGTGTTGTGCTGCATGCCGAAAAGCAAATGCATATCAGTTGATTGGTGAATTTGACCAATATGAAGTCGACTGACCAAAGAGAAGTAGGAAGAGTGGGAGGAACGAGTTTTAGCCCTTACTCTGTCCATTTGATAATCCATTCATGGAAATTTTGTTACTGATATAATAAACAGACATTTTTTCTTTTAATTTGTTTTTACTATATTTGTCTGGCAATTCCGGTACTTAATTGTATGTCGAATATTTATATCAGATTTTACATATGGTTTATTCTCTACAGTTATATAATTTTATGGATTTGTTCTTCGATTTCCCACTAGAAATCGAATATTGTAATAGTTCTCTAATAAAAATAAATTTATAGATTTTATGAATATTTGAAAAATTTTGGATATTTCAGGATGGCAACCGATTATCGACAAGATATGCCACCTCCAGGTGGATATAGCAAATTTAATTGGTCACGAACCTATCCAAAAGTTCTTTGGAAAGGTAACCGCCGCCCTTAAATTTTATATTCATTCATTTTGTTTGAGTGTGCTGTCAATACCAATTTATTAGTCTGAAATAACTTTTTGTATCCCAGCATACCGAAATATAGATTCAGACAGAGTTAGGAACTGCTTTAGCAGTTATTTAAATAAACTAGTAAGTATCTTGAAATAGTTTAAGGTTCCAGATTTGCTTTTAAACTTCTGCACGCTGTGGTGATTGTTTATTCAACTGTCAGATAATTGCTTAATGGCGATACAATAAGGGAGATTAATGAAACGGCTTGAGAATGCCATGTAATTAGTGCCAAAATAAAACATTTTCTTGATAATGAAAAATGAATTGAAAAAAGATTATACGCTGTTTTTAATTCTGAGTTTTTCTGTTCGTATTTTCTTTATTCTCGGAAACTGATAATAGTTAACAGTTATAAAGTTTCAAAAAACTCAAAAAGACTTTTTTTGAAACGGAAAATCTCATTCTGTAGTTCTTTGTTTTTTTTTTCAGCTGAAAAGTTATTGGGGGTGGTTATTTTTTTGTTTGGATATGGTCTTTTCCAGGCTCGAGCTCTTAAACGTGCCATCCTGTAAGTCCATCTTCTCTTGTGATTCATTCGCTAGCTTCCGATCATTGTTACGAACTCACTGCTTCAGAAATTTTGACTGAAAATTTGCATATATTAGATTTCTAATTAAACAAGATCAAGAAATATCTGCTTTTGAGCGTTGGGAAAATACACTATAAAATTTTCGACGAAATGATTGCTATATTCAGATACATATAACACTACACTGAATTGTTCCAATGCGTAATCTCTTTAAATTAAGTCGATTTCTTTCAAATCTTTTTCAAACTCTTCACATCTTCAACATTAACTGGAAATTGGACCAAAATAAGCTATATGTTTGTGTGTTACAGTACGGAAAGATTTGAAGATAAGGATTTATACATTGCAATGACGCCATTTCTATACGCCGAAAGAGATCGAAGGTTTTTTTTAATTTTTTTTCTTTGCAATGTAATGTTAACTTTAGTTCATCGTCCATAATTTAATTGAAATATAAATTAAGCGGGACAACTTTCGTAAGCCTTAGTGTGAATTCCCTACACTGTTTAGCAATTGCCGGATGACTTGCTTTGGCACGATTGCACTCAAAAACACCGTATGCAGATATCCTAAAAAGGAGCATTTCGTAATTTGTGATATCAGCAAATTTCAGTAATAATTTCACAAAAACGTGAAAGGCTACTTATTCTATCTACTTATTCTTCCTTGTTCTACTTAGAAAGTATCTACTTATTCTTTCTTGTTGTAGATATACCACATCTTAATTAGTAGTGGGATCTTCTTGATTAATATATAAATAACTTCATGATTTGAATCATCTCTTCGTCAGTTTCACGAGTAGTTTCGAAATGTATGGAGACAAAATAAAACGCTTGGTCTCAAGATTTTTGAGTCCATTTTCATGTTTTCCTCCTCTACTGAACTGACTCATGGTGACGGTAAGTAGTCTGTTCTGAGTATTTTTCGAAATAACCAAATTTTGCAGGTGGTTGAAACTTTTGAAACAAAATCGCGATTATGAAATAAAACTGGCAGAAATTAGTGATGATAAGGCGTGGAGAGTTGGAACCTGGTATGGCGAACCTGTGTATTTCACATTACAGGATCGTTGGTGGGATCCAACACCTCATGTAGGTTTTTTCATTAGATAAATTGAAATTTCCTTTTTTAATGGTCATAGACGTGGCAAAAGCTACCCATCGAAAAACGATTATAGCTTATTAGCTATGTTTACTTGCTATCACAAAGCCTACAATTTTTCAGTCGACAAGATTTGACATTTTAACCTGGTAAGCAAATAGATTTGGAATTAATGAACCTATTCTACTTATATCCTGGGGTCCTCATACCTTTTCTTGTCTCATGAACCATCCTAGCATTAGAACCAAAGATAAAGTTAGACTTATCGGAAGTACGAACGCATCTCATCCTGTTTCCTACTCAGTCAGTTTAAAGTTCAAAAGTTTTTTAAAATTAATGTCAATGACATTATCTTTTTTTCATGACCAATAATTTAGGTATCATTTTTCATATGTTCAGAATCAAAAAATAAAGCCCGTATAAATCAAGGTGAAATTGTTTTATTTGCAGGAGGCTTATGCTCATTCTCCAATGAAGAATGTCTACGAAGATTTTGAATTTACTCATCGTGCAGATCATGTTTAACGAAGAAAAATGATAGGGATTTCAGGCACATCCAAAATGTAGATTTAACGTTTTCTCTTCACCGTTGCTTGTTTCTCTAATTATTAGCCAAATACTATAAATATTTTTGCGAATATTTGCACGGACGAACAAAAAATCAGGCTGTTAAACTTTCCTCCAAGTTAGGAACCAATTCTGCAATTGCTGTACACTTCTATGTAGTTTTGCTGACATCGTAAACCATTATGCATATGCATACCTTTATTCGTACTTATGATCCAATTTAGGAATGGATAGTGTAAGACAGTTTTGATCATGATTCTTTGGGAATTTTTTATATTTCCTTTATCATGATTTATTATCCAGTGTTGAAATAATTTTAAAGTTATTGGTCAAATTTCGTAGCTGCAAAAAACTACTTCAAGTAATGCTTTAATAAAACCACTGTTAACAAATGAAGCATTGCAATATCAGTTAGATATAGAATTAAATGAATTTTGTCTTGTGGGACTAGACGAGCTTTTACTATTGTGAGAAAACTGATTCTCTTTTACTACTGAAAAAAGACAAGTTGCATGCGATTCAGAGATTCATCAACAATGGAGGAATAGGCAATACATATAAATTTTGAAAATGCAACTGAACGCAGGGAAGATGTTTTTATGATACAGATGCTATGAGTAATGAAGCTTGTGAAAAAGAAGTGAAAAACATAATTGATGGTACAAAGAAACGATATCACTTTTTCTTCATGCTTATCGAATATCCTCCACCCGGCTGCTGTACCATTTCGAAGTTATCTGTTGATAAACCAAAAGGTTTCAAACACATATTTCCAAAATCTTTCAGTTTCGAAATCATCTCCTGAAATATTTCTTGTGGTATTCAAAGCACACACGAAGTTCAATTTTTAAAAAACTAGTGCTTAAATGTTTAATGTCACCAAGTTCTAAATTAATAATGATGTATGGAAGCATGGTGGATATACCTCCGAAAAACTGAGGCACCTCAAAAAAACAACCTGCATTTCAGGCGGGCTAACCGACGTTTGTAACACAATTCTGATTCTATTATTAACTTCTATTTCTTAGTTGATTTTAAACAACATAACATGAGAATCACACAGCCTTGACGCCTAATCATCCTAGCTGTTTTCGATTTGGGAAGAGAATTTTAATGTCAATTTTTCAAATTTTGAGACTCGTGATTTGACCTCTAGATGTAGGAAATTTCATACTCTTTTCATTCTTTCATTATGTTCATCAATTGCCCGTTTCAAATCAGCAATTTTCTTGATATAATCATTTTTCCTTTCAGGGTACAATTTTTGTAACGATTCATAGTCTTCAATAGCCTGTTCATATTTCTCTTCCAGTTGAGCATAGCAATGAGCACGTCTTTCTAATGGTTTATCGTTTGGTGCACCTGAAATGCCGAAATAATAAACCCTAACGGTATGATGAAATTTATAGCATTTTTAATCAAAAATGGTAAAAAATTAAATTTCAATTTCATGGATAAACATTTATTGAAATTTTAAAAGAAACGATCGAAAACTGACCAATTTCTAACGCTTTACTACAATCTTCTATAGCTTTTTCCCAGTCTTTAAGTTTCATATATGCAGCAGCTCGATTACTGAAATATGTTGCTCTGAAAAAGAAACTTTTATCGTTCTCTTTCTTTTCCTTGTTTAAACATTGTAAATATCAAAAGATCTCAAGTCTTTCTAATGTTTACCATTATAATGTATAGCAACTGAATGACAAACTTTACACCACATACCGTTATTATTTTTCACAAGTGTATATAAAACATAAACCATTTCAATGATCTTTTGAAAATAAATTGGGAATTAAATTAACAAAATATAATAACCTATCATGCGTGTATATGAGTGGACAAATATCTAAAGATTTCGTGTAAGAATGGACTGCTTCATACCAAAATCCTTGACCGAAATAATCATTCCCCTGAAAATCTGACAGAATAAACATTGCTGGCTAGCCAAATTGAGATTCGAATTAGACGGTTCACAAGAATAAAGATATAATTACACCCCATCCACGAAAAATAATTATAAATTCCTGCTGTTTCCACAAAAAGAATTTGTCACAGTTACATTATAAATGTAAAATTTCCTCAAAAACATCACTTTAAATCAACATTACGGCACGGAGAAATTTACTTGAATTTTTAACGTTTTGGACTGTTCTCGAAGACTGTTTAACTCTTCCTCAGATAATGCTGCTTCTTGTTTTTTACGCTTTTCCAATTCTTCTTTCTCCTTCATTTCATCCATCTCTTTACAATGTTGCTTGGGAACATTTTCATCTGTAAGTTCCATTAATTCGTGGAGATATTAAAGCAAAAAAATTAAAACAAAAAGTGAAGTTCTTGCTGATCTGCTCATCCCGTTAGTAAAGCTAAAAGGAAAGTGAAGAAAGAAACATGGTGCAGATGAAATTTGATATAAATTGAATATTGACAAAAAAAATAAAGTTTCAATACTCATACCTTTATTACTTCCATCTTGAATATCATCATTAGGAGCTTCCTGCACAGTATTACCACTGCCATTGCCTTCTATCTTATCACTAACATGAGTCATATCATTTATTGAGGATGAACGAAGTGGTGTAATAAGATCATCAATATCATCAGATTTGCTCGTGCCAGCCATTACTGACAATGTTTATAAAATCTATGATATGATTAGAAACGTTTTACATCAAATCAGCGTAGGAAATGTCCTGGTAACGATACGGTTATATTTGAGAATGGTGCTTCATCGAATTTCGGATCACAAAGTTGAATTGCCATTCCCTCTGGAATGCCCAGTCCACTAAACCGATCAACAAATTGTCACCTATATTTCATCTTGCTTTTCACAATACTCAGCCTTCCAAATAACTACAGCTAATCCTTACATAACGTCTAAAAGATTGTTCCAGTTGAATCAGATTTTATGGAAAGTTCAAATTAACGTAAAAATGTATTTTATGCATAAATTCTAAAGAATTAGTTTGAAAAACATTGTGAAGCGAAAATAAGACACTTTTGGCTGGTTAGTCAACCAGGAAAAAAAAAAACGAAAAATAAATAAGTAAAAATCAATTTTTATAAATGTTCTGATTCATTTGTAAATTTCCTCAAGAAAATACAATATGATAACATATATGTTTTCACAAACGTACGAAAGAGAAAAAATAAAACAGTTTTGATCTTGGTATTATCAATGTAAAGTTATTTCACGTATTCTGAATTTCTGATGTCATTGCTGACAATGTTCAGAACGCTGCTAGGATTTATTCTAACATTCACTGGTTTTATGATAAATACGTATCAGAATCCTCACCTATAGATAGAAGTTTTGGCTACAATATCAAATTGTAATTTGAAGTCTTGTTCGAACATGACTTTAAGCAATATGGCAAATAACAAATAAAAACGTTGGTAAAGAAAACTTTCCGACATATCAAATAGTAACATCAGACAGTTTCCACATCTTCGATTGCTAATGCTAGGAATTAACTAATTTTCCATGTGGCAGTACCACAGCAGTTCAGAAGTAACTTATTTTTAATGTGAGGATATCACAGCATTTCACACATCTATCACTTTAACATCACAACTACAATATCACTTAGAAAGTATATATCTTCGAGTTAATCACCAGAACCAAAATTTGCCAAACGACGTTACACTGTTCTGATAACTTTTTCAAGTCATCTTTGATTAAAGTGAAATAATAAACATGTAATATTAAAAAGAAAATTAAAGAAAGATGAGAATCAAGCAAGAGATGAAAACAAAGTCTAATTCAACAGATTAAAAAATGGACGAATTATTGGGTAAAATATAACTCTAAAATCCATATAATTATTATGAAGTATGTATTAGATATAATTCAACTCAACTTGAATAAAAGCCATAAGTAAACTTATTAAAATTCTTTCGGTACGAGCCAAAGAACTAGATAACAGTTATTCTGCTTACTGAAACTGCTGAAAATAAAGAACATATTTGATAAAATGCAGTGAAAATAACAAATATTTCTCTTGTTAAAATGGTTAATAATGCTTATTTCTTAATAAATTCTCTAGTTCAAAGATTTATCGTGACATTTCAGATAATGTCCGCTCAGTAAAATTAAGAACTGATAGTTTTATTCCGTGGTGGATCTTGTAATCAGTTAATTAAATCTGTATCAAGATAGTCCTCAAAAAAGTGCCTGGGATATTAGAAACTTGAATGTTGTCATCAAATTAACATCAGCCTTCTGACTAATATAAGAGATTATAAGTTGCAAATTTCTTTTAAAAGAGAAACAAAAAAAGAAGTCAAAAAAAAGAAGAGCTTAGAAGATGTACAAATTCACTTATTGCACGTATCATTGAAAACTATAAGTCCTAAACAGTAACTAATCATTGTTTTCAAATGCAGCAAGTCGTCGTTTGATATCAAGCTTCACTTCAACTCTTGAGTCTAATTTTGTTTTCGTGTTTTCCGCACCATTCAGAACCGCCTCACATTCCAGCATTGCGCTGCGTAATTTATCGATACAATCAGCCGTATTCAGCTGCTCCGAATAAGTTCGACATGATTCAATCACTAACAAATCGTTTCTGGAAAGGAAAAATTTTGTTGAAACCGACTTAATTTGACTTCATTTCATTTGTGATCAATTATGTAATGCCTTTATTACACTAGTAAGAACAAAATTTTCAGCGTTTATATACCAAACGTAAGTGGAAAAGCAAATAAACACAATGAAATGTTATGCACTCTTACGATTGCAAAAAATCATCACCTCAACAATTTTTATTTTTTGAAAAATAAATGATAAAGTCTATTAAAAAAATACAAAATAATGGAGCTCAAATAAGATAATAATAAAACATACTGCAAAAAAGAACAACTATGTAATCAAAAGACTATTAAGACTACCCGCGTTATATGTCCACAAATTCATGCATTAACCACCTAATATTTCGCATTTCATTTTTATCTCATCCTATTTCTTCGCCACCTTTCGACTAATCGTACTGTAATAATTCCTTATTTATGATGTTCAGATACATAATATAGTTAAACAGTAACAATAAATAACACCGAAAATCTAAATTAATTCCAATGTTTGAAATCAAAAGTTAAAACTGACTGGTCAACTCTGTGCGAATAGCGCATCCTCAAATCTTCCGCTATTCTCGTCGGGATCCAATCAGCTTTCAAAGGAACACGAAGTTCAACTTGCGGAGTTCGTCCATCTTCCCGAAAAGTGACTGTCTTTTGTAAACATTCCAAAGGAATTTTGCCATCAAATTTCAATGCGCAGAAGTGACGACATAGAAACGAGAATCGTGGAAACAATTGAAGTCGCATAAATGAATTCGGTTGAATACTCTGCGAGCTCCTCCCAAAATATCCTATTCATATAAACTAAATAGATAATTTATACAACCTCCTTCAACCATTAAATATAGAAAAGTTCAATTAAGATAAAAAGTACAATTATGTAGCCATACTACGCACTTCAAAAAATATGGCTAAAGAATAAATCTTAAAATGATAGAATTTTAACAAATTATTTCTTTTTTATGCAGGCGTTATAATCATTGTTTACAACCGAATCCAAAACGATGAATGCCCTAAAATCATGAATCTAAAAAAAAATATTAAAATGAAAGAATGTTCGACCATTCGTTCTTCTTTCTTGATAAAAACTGCTATTTTGAAACATTAGATATTATTACAAATTAGGCAATGAGAAAAAAATATTACCTAACATAATGATATATATATGCACTGGGATATTAACCATGAATCATGACAGAGATATTTCTAGTTTAATACCATCAAATTCTGATAAAATTTGTCCCCACTCACTTTAAATAAATGAACTTCGTGGAAGAAGTATAAGTTTAGATCAGAAAACTGCTTCAAATTTCTCATAAATGATCAAAATGCACAACTCTTCATAAAGTGAAGTATTTGCTAACAAACATAACAAATTATTAATTCACATCTCCGAATATGATGTTATATATCTGGTCGTAATGTGAAACAAAATGTATATCAACATTTTCTCGGATAAAATCGGGCAGATCCGAGAAATCCTTCCGATTCTCTTCCGGCAATATAATACAATTCACTCCAGCTCTTTTGGCCTGAAGAAGTCAACGGGTTAGCTTATAGAAAGACATTAAATTTACAACTTATAAGAGCAATCGCCATACAATAACCATTCATAAAATAAATAAACATTTCCTTAACACCCTAACTTAAACTATCAGCACATAAAAACTATTTATGAATACCTACACTTAAAAAATATTTGCTTCATGAATTGGAATTGATGTTTGAAACATTTCAACGTGGAAAACTATAGATAACTAAATTATTAGATATAATTGTTGAGAAACCTCTCATATTCTTCTGCTAAAATAAGATTTTAGAAACTTTCAAACAACATACAGCAATGACTTTTTCTTTAATTCCACCGACTGGTAATATCCTTCCAGTAAGAGAAATTTCACCCGTCATTGCAACATTTTGTCGAGCTGGCTGATTCAAAGCCAACGATAATAAAGCAGATGTTATTGTACAACCTGCAGATGGACCATCTTTCGGTGTTGCACCCTGAAAAAACAAAGGACTGATCGTCAAATGAATATTTGAAATCTGAAACTTGCAACTGCATGTTTCTATGAAACTGAGATATCAGAAATCTAGAAAATTGAGACAAACCTCCGGAACATGGACATGTATATGCGCCTTGTCGAGAAAATCATTGTCCGGAAAGTGATTTCTAAGGATATTCTTTGCAACCGTGTAGGCAATACGCATACTCTCTTTCATCACATCACCCAGATGTCCAGTTGTTTCTAAACTACCGAATGGAACGGTTGTGTCAGGCTTCGATGAATTGACTGCATCATTATACGAATCGTTCGTAAATCCACTATCAGTACTTGGGCTTCGTGATAAAGTTGATTTATATGTAGTCAAGTTCCGTCGTAAACATGCTTCAATGTATAAGCACGATCCGCCTAAAAATTTTTTTGATATATTCAAATATAAAATCACATTACTAATCATCTTTCTGTGATCCTATTAAGGATATCAGTAATAAGAACTGTTTAGTTCTAGTTAATCAACTCGTCGCTCTTTTCAAGCTGCTTTTTTGTATTTCGAGAAAATAGTAAACTTACCCATAGCTGTCCAGGCAAGACCCATTATTACACCAACCGGTGTTGCATCGTACAAACGATCGCTAGTGAATTTAGGTCTTCCGACAAAGTCTTCGATATTCTGGTTGTCAACAATTATTTGAACAGTTTTCTGACTGTCTCCTCCGGCTATTTTGAAAGCTGCTTTACGAAATACCTGAAAAACAAATGAAAAGTAAGTGATACTGCATCCATGGATTGTTTGACGATAATAATTATTGGAGATTTAGAGCCAAATTGTGATGAACATTGAGAGGTACAAAAAATCTTTTTAACATAAGTTCCATTCTTTTACCGAACATCTACTTGCATATTAATTAAGACATCAGTATGAGAACCGGAAAAGTGAACATTTATTGTCAGATGAATTAAAGGTAAAGAAAAAAATGAACCAATTTCATCAAATCTAAATAATTTGTTCATATGATTCCTATAAAATTACAATTTATCGTCAAAAAATCAGGAAAATTTTCGCACAGTACCTTTTCAATATGCTTCTGAAGATTCCGAACACCAGATTCTCGACAGTAGTGCTTGATAAGTGTCTGTAGCGCTTCGGAAGTTATCTGCAGCTGACTTTCTTCCAGTGAGCTGGAAAAGAAATTTTTCGAATATATATTCTTTGCACTAGTAAACCTAAAAACAAATATATATAAAAAAAACACTTATTTACTGGGTACGAATAGATTTGTTGACATTTTTCATTCACTACGCTTGTTTGTTCAAGTTTTCGTTCACCTCACTAATCTTAATGTTCAATTTAAATTTGATAAAGTTCGCAATCTGTCAAAACTGTATTATGCAAATAAAATACAGATGGCTTATATCCATGGAAAAATCAGGAATAATATTAACCTATCCTTTCTACATTGAGGTACCAAATAACTTTGCGCAATATTTAATTTTTCTTCTGCAACATAACCTGACACTTCGATCATTTCCATGCGATCTTTTAGTGGACCAGGAATGGTATCCGTGATATTTGCAGTGCAAATGAATAATACCTAGAAATATGGCATCAACAAGTTTACTTACTTTGAAAAAAAATTGAAGTTATTAATATTAAACTCACCAGGGATGTACAAGTTACATTTTTGGACCGAATTATTGGATTATAGCCTGAACTAAGTAATTCGGCAAGCCAATTTTTATAACAAATAAATTACTGAACTAACTTTTGACAAATCAACAGGAACATCAAGAAAATGATCATTAAAATTGGTGTTTTGTTCTGGATCCAGCAGCTCTAATAACGCTGATGACGGATCGCCATGGTAGCCTGCACCACCAATTTTATCGACTTCGTCAATTAAAACTAATGGATTTTCAGTTTGTACCTTAAAAAAATTACATCATAACAGTTTCCTGAAAATTTTTAGTTTAGAGGATAGAAGTCACTAAATTAAATGTAGGGAAAACTGTATAAAAAATCCAACTTTTTTCAAGCACTGAATCATTTTTCCAGGCATCGCCCCAACATATGTACGGCGGTGTCCTTTAATTTCTGCAACATCCGTCATTCCACCGACCGAAAATCGAAAGTACTAAAAATTTTTTAGAAATTAAATAAAAAGCACATTTTCATTTTAATATGCTTAATAATAAATTTGATAAAAATCTTACCTCTCTGTTTAATGCTCGGGCAATTGATCGTGCAATACTTGTTTTACCAGTACCTGGCGGCCCATGTAAGCACAGAATTTTACCACTTACTTTCTTTTTAAGTATACCAATTGCAATGAATTCCTAAATAATAAAAAATAAAGAATGAAAAATGCCTTAACAAGCATCTTTTCAATAAAATGTAACGCCCTTTCTATATGAAAGAATGCAGAACACGTGTTTTGGAATTTATTCGATTTCAATGACGTACCAAAATGCGATCCTTGACATCCTTCATTCCGTAATGATCTTCATCTAGTACGTCAATAGCTCTATCCAAATCAAGCACATCTTCCGACGTTCTACCCCACGGCATATTTGTTAACCAATCCAAATAATTTCTGGGAAACGATAATGATGAGAAAGATATTGCTTCAAATTTCTCAGAAGAAAACTTGAAACTACTTAGAAAAAGGCAAGAAAGTCATTCAAAACTATACCTCGCAACTGAAAATTCACTGGAATGTGGATCCAGAAAGGATAGTTTGGTTTGTTCTTCCTTAATTACTTTCATCACATATTCCGGAACATTTAGATTTTTTATGCGATCTTGTATTTTTTCCGCCAGAGCTTCCTTGTCATCCTTCTCTAATCCCAGCTCTTTTTTGATTGCTTTCAGCTAAAATTTTTTAACGAAATAAATTCTCAAATCACGAAAAAATAATGAAAAGGGTGTTCGGAAACCGGATAAATGACCTCTAATAAAGAGCTCGGAGCAAAAACTGATTTACCACTTCAAGCTTCTAAAGTCTCTCAATGACCACTCTTCGTGAGCAGATTTATAACCTCTAAATACTGGAAACTAACAAGATTATCATATCTCAATACTATATCCAATAAAATGAAAATTTGAAAATCACCTGCTCATTCAAAAGGAATTTACGATGTTGATCATGAACTTTCTTTTCCACATCCTTGTTAATATCATGTTTTAATTTTGCGACTGTTTTTTCCTTTTCAATTAATAGCAGTGCTAATTTCAAACGTTCTTCAATCTAAATCATAAATTACACTTTACAAATTCCGTATATACAAACTACAGGAACACAAAATAACTTACAACTTCTTCATCCATCAAATTTTGTAAATCGATTGGATCAGCGCTTACAAGTGATCCAACTAAATCACACAGATATATAGGATTGTCAACCACATTTTTTGATGGATTTGCAGTTAACCCAAGTTGCTGTGCAAATAACGTATTATATTGCATTACATCGCGAATCGTACTAACTATGGCTTGCATTGTTGCCTGAAAATTTTGGATAATGACAACTGTAACTCAATTTCTAAAATCATCGCGGTTTTAAATATCGTTTCTTTTAAGGACTGACACAGAACTCCTGAGTCTTCCAGTTAGGGCAAGTTAAATATTTGAAAAATTAAAACTAAAATGCATTTGTCCGCTAACTGCCTTATCTATTATTGAAGATAAACAACGTGCCCAGCTCCAAAACACGCAGGATTGCCCACACATAAATAAAATTAAGTCTATGCTTAATATCCGAAAAATTAAATAATTTTTGATTATTATGACATTTGACATCACCAATAATGTATTATTCCACAAACATAACCAACAAAGTATTATTCCACATTTTTCATTAAACAATAAAGGGAAAACTTGCTTTAACTTCAGTTGTTCTCTCAACAGGTTGCGAAACGACATTTTCCGTCCGAGCTAGTGTTATTGTTGGAGATGTAGCCAACGAACTTTCATCTTCTTTTGCCTTATTTTTCACCGATTTACGGCGCTCTTGGCGTGCCCTTCTACCGTTTATTTTTCCAATATTTTCACTGAATAGAGCAAAAAATTTTGCCAAAAAGTTCTGGCAAGTGAGAAGCAAAATCTCATTTCAGTTATCATATTAAAATCAGGAAAAATTCGTTGCAAACTCTAGTTAACAGAATTTCTGAAAACATTACTTACGATATATCGATATCATCAACAACTGGTTCTAAAATACGTATGCGCCTTTCAGCAACTAGAACCAATTCTATCTTGTCACCATTATCACCCATAACATTGATTTGCGCAAATGATCCCACTGCATGAAGCTCAGACAAGGATTCCACTGTTTCAGAATCATTCCTAAAATTGCATCAGAAGAATGATAACGCGTCTGATTATTCGCGGCAGCGGAAATCACTTAACAAAGAACATAGGTTATGTATTTTCCATGTTGTCTGAAATAGCGGATTTTTCGATATCTGTGTATTTGTCATATACTCATTATCTGAGTAAAGCAAATGTCATATTCGGCTAATTAACTATGATGTTCCAGTCAATAAATTTTTGCATTAGCTTAATTCCATACATATATACGTCCTTGGCACATATACGTCAAGTTTTTCATTTGGATAATCACTTTTAATCCCAGCTATGACAACAACAATCATTTAAAATATCATGATTTTATCATTATTTTTCATCAAAGTACTATAACCAGTAAAGGAAAAAAAAATACTAATGACGATATTTAGTC